GAGGTGGGTGATCGGTCCCTCCTGAACCCCGGCAGCGCCGCGCTCCCCTTTCGGTTGTTGCTGGGCGTGGAAGACACGGACGACGACGATGGTGATGTCGTTGCGGGGGATGGCAGGGCCGACAGCGATTCCGACGATGGCGAAGTGGTCAGGGTGGCCGACGAGCTCGGGTCGAGCGACGAGAGGAGCGAGGAGAGGGACCGCGAGCGCAGTGACGACGACGAAGTGGTCGCACTGGAGGGCGATTCAATGAGAGACCACGGCAGCGAGGTCAGTTGAAGGCCCTCCAGAATGACCTGCCTCTCCTTGGTCGGCAGGACCGCCAGCGCCACGTCCGCCTGGTGCAGCTGGCAGGACCAATTATCATCAGCCCGTGATTCACCCCCCGCCCCCCCGAACGAATGAGGGGCAAGCCTGCAAGCCTGTACCTTGGGGTCTCTCTCTTGTCGCCACCTCTGCAGCGACTCGAGGACCTGCTCCTTCCGCCGGATGTAGGCGTTACAAAACGGTGCCGTCCTGTGGGAAAGGGAGTGCATGAGCGAAAAAGGAGAAAGAGGGAGGAGGAGGAGGGGGCGAAAGGGGATACCGGAGGAGTTCCACTTCGACGTTAATGATGGTCCAGCGTACGAGTGTGGCCAGAGACTGCGTGGGTACAATCATGCCATCCTGGAGTGGTCCCCACAGGAAAGGCCCTGGCTTCTGCACGCGACAAAAGAACGCGAGGGTGAGTGAGAGTTCAGAGAACCCCGAAAGCGGTACGTGTGTTTGCGTGCGGCGTACGCACCGTTGATTTCAGCTGTACGCGAACGAATCCGCGCCGAAGCGGGTAGAGTATGATGTAGAGGCACGTCACTTTGGTGCGTAGGGTCGATATGTCGTAGTCGACATCATTTTCGCTCCACACGACGTTCAACTCGTCGTTGCCGATGTGTCGCTTCTACAAAAAAATGGTTAAATGCCCTCCCATCGCGGTCGCACCACTCCGCCGCGCAACAAAGAGTGCTCTCTCATCAACGACAGACATGCATGCACTGACCTTGTGGACCTGCTGCGGGTCGTCCGTAGCGGTGGGGAAGAAAGGCGCCACGTGGAACATCAGCTCCGTGGTGGGGGTGGTCGAGAAGGGCATCTCGAGCTCCTGCTCGACCGACAAGCCGCCCGCGTAACCCGTGTGATGGGGAAGGTACACCTGAGTGGTATCGATCACGCCCAGGCCACCTGTCAGTGCCTCGTGGTGCTGGTGACTTGCGGTGTGGGCGGTATACGAACCGTGGACCCAATCTGGGACATGAAGGTGCGGAAGGCCGACGAGCAGGTGCTGTTGGCCAGAATGTCGCTCTGGTGGTCCTGGCCCGGTCCCACATAGACCACGCCCACCTTGAACACGTCCTTCCTGTCGACGGCGAATAAAAACAACAATCGAAGGCCGTCAGGAGCCATCATGACAACAGCACAGTGGTGGGTCAAAGTGGTGGCGTACTCCGGCAGGCCGGTGAGGCGGCGGACGAATCGCTCCATGCTGTCGACGGTCGCGTGGATGGCGTGCGGCGTCACGTGGGTGTCCTCCGCCGGTGCGACGAGGGCGGCGTGCGGCAGCGGCAGACGCACCGTCGGCTGAAGCTGTTTGCATATACACACGCGAGCGAGCGCAAGGGGTGTTAAAAAGAACAACAACGTAACTGTGATTAGTGTCGGGCGTGAGTGGGCGAACCTGGTCCAGAATCTTCTTGCCCTGGGGAGGATTTCGAGGGAGGACCACCTCCCTGAGCGCATCGCCTCGGTAGCCGAAGCTTCCGGTGCCGTTATGCACCTGTGCCGTGGTGATGATTTCTGTTTTTTTCAACGCCACAAAAAGAGCGTATTTAAGATTGAGCAGATGGCCGCGACGATCACTTGTCAAGCTGCGGGGTGGGAGCGGACCTTCGCCGACCCGATCCTCTCGCACGAGGAAGACGGAGGAGCCCCAGCTGTAGAACGCAGAGTGCTGGGCCACGGCAGAAAGTGCGGTTGAGGAGGTGCGAGACAGCGATACGAACGGGTTGCCTGCACGCACTCGGGGTGTGAGCGGGTCTCGTTGCTCTCGAGGCCACGAAAGACAAAGGCCACGCACCCTTTCTGAAGTTGTAGGCGTAGAGCAGGTGCAGGAGTAGAGCCTCGGCCCTCCCTTCAGTCAGACGGCACCTCTCCTTGGCCTCCTGCGTGTCAAAGGCGCGTGAGCCACGCAAAGGCAATGGTGGGTGAGTGGAGGCCAAACCTGAGGCTCGGTCTCCTCGAAGTGGAGCAGGCGCTGGTAGAGGGAGTTGAAGACAGCGCCGGCCTGGTCCAGGTACGACGAAGAGGCCGGCACCGGGAGCGGGTGTGGTATGGGGCTGAAGGAGGACGACGTGGACGAGAGCAGGGCGGTGGGCGAGATGGGCACCATGAGCGGGAACATGGGGCAGACGAGGGAGAGGAGCGAGGAGAAGGACGGCGGCGCAGGGTCGGCGAGCGGGTCCGGCAGGATGCACATCTCCAGAGTGCTGAAGAGCAGCGAGACCAGGGCCTCGTCGTGGAGGAACGGAAAGGGCAGGCTGAGCCACTCCCGCAACCCCAGGCAGTAGTACTTCCACAACTCGGGGCCTGCCGATAAGAATAAGATTACTGCTTCGCCACGACTAGGCCCGACAGAGACACACGAGCGTAAGCGGGCGAGTACCAGAGTCGATAGCGTTCTGGCATAGCATCTCGATGATCGATCGAATGTTGCCCAGAGGGTCTCTCTGTAGTAGTACCGCAGAGCGAGCGTGAGTGGGCAGCCTTGCGTGGAAGAGAGAGAGAGAGGAGGGGGGGGAAGACCGGAGATGGTTTACCGTGAACATGAGCGTGGGGTAGATGGACGTGAGCACGCTCAGCGAGGAGACGGCGACGGCGACGACTTCAGGGGTCTCCATGAAGGAACAGCTGCTCTTGAGGATGGCGAGCATCTGCTCGATTAGGCGCCTCACGTACATCTGGGCCTGCCGCTGCTCATTCTCCTGGACGTTGCCGTGCTGCTGTACCACAGTGTCTGCGCCTTCGTCATCGTCGAACGCGCAGTGGGGGTACAGGCAGTGGATCTCCAGCAGCGCGACCAGCGTGGCAGAGAGCGTGCTGAGACACTCGACCTTGTTGCGCGAGTCCGTCTCCTCCTCGATCACGCGCAGCACCATCCCTACGATGTCTCCGAGGGCCTGGAAACCAATGATGACATCAGCAGCTGACGTGTGAGAAGGCACCGCAGTTGGTGGTGGTGGTGGTGCAGGGGAGGGGCTGCATACATGGAGCTTGTCGAGTGGCGGCATGACCGGGAGACAGCCCGGGGCGAGCGTAGGCAGGGCACCGCGAAGCACCACGTTCAGGATGCGACACAGCACGCGCACAGCGCTCGGACGTATCTGGTCCGACTTTGCCATGTCGTCCGCCTGTTGGTCGCACGTACACCATAAGAAGTGAGCAAAGATCTTATCATCAGTGCCTGGCCGTATGGAATGTGGTGGGCTGGGCAGTCACCAAGAAGGTTCTGATGGCCGTGCAGTAGCACTCGATTAGGCTGGGGCAGTCGTCAAAGCGCGCGGAGAACAGATCCTCTGTGTGCTGCAGCGCCGCAAGCAACAACGGCCAGTGATTCAGCGCCTAGGAGAAAGGAAGGGGGTGGTGAGCGCAGGCACAGGCGGAGGTCACTCTCACATATAGGTCGCGTATGTAGGTACATTGTGCACGGTGCCAAAGAAAGCGTCCCACAGGGACTTGGACTGGAGTAGCCGGCTTGCGGGCAGGAAGAGCCTACAGATCAGCCGCAGCGCTTCTCCCCGGCACGCCAGGAGCTCACTGAGCGTGAAACCGTCAGACGAACAAGCAGCCCAGTGTGCAAACTCAACAATTGGGAGTAGGGGCGTACGGCTTTTCGCGCTCCACAAGCGCCAAGAGCGGCTCGTAGGTGAGCTTCACGATGTGAAGCCCGTCTTCGCTCTCTGTGTACAGCCAGCCACAAATGACGGGTGAGCGTGCATGCGAGAGAAGATTGAGGTTGCTGTGCTTCACATACCGTTCGCAATGTGCTGATAGCGCTGTTTGGTCATGAAGGGCTTAATGTGGACCTCAAGTACGTCTCCCAACCGCTTGAGGAATGCCATCAGTGAGCTCGGAGCGGCGATCAGCCCGGACAAGCCCGGCAGTATCTCTGAACCAGCCAAGCAATGTCAAAGTCATGTTTGATGGTCCCCGTTCAGCTGAATGGGTGATGGGAGAGGATGGGGTGAAGGGTACCAAGTAGTCGTCGAGAGATCAGGAGCATGTGATCGAGGAAGTCGCTCTTGCCGGAGCGTTGCCATTGCTGAGCTGTCACACCGTCAAACACACTCGCTGGACGAGTAGGCGCCACCACTTGCGCCGTTGGGTCAAGCGGCTGCGGAGGCGGCAGTCTCACGGTAAGCTTGCGGCTGACGAACTGGCGACCACCTGACATCGCATTGCTCTTCAATTCCACGTACGGTGCAGGTGCGGATAACAAACAAAAAGTAGTATCGTACTACTCTCTGAAAAGGCATCTTGTGCGGTGAGCTCGGCGATGGTGCGGCCCCAATCCTCGAGAACGCTCAAGTAGGCGTAGTGCAGCGTGGGGATGCTAAAGTACTGCTTGAGCGCGTAGTGGAACTGCTGCCACCTGTGCACACTCGTGTCCTCTGATCGAACCAGGAGAAACAGTGCGAACTGTACGAGAAGAGATAATGATAACGATCATTATCTAAACAGTTCTAGCCTCAAGGCCGTTGGGCCAAGGTTACGTGACAATCAAGGACGTACCTGAATCAAGAGGCGGAGCTGTTCGTCGAGGGCAGGAGAGGGCGGGTAGTTCAGGTGGTATTGGATTTGGTCTTCGAGCAGCTCGCACAGCGATGAAAAGAAGAAATCGCTGAAGATGACGATAGTGAGGACAGGGAACATCGCCGAAGATTGGCGAGCGATCAGAGTACTGAGGCTTACCGTGTCTGTGTATCGTAGGTCGGTAGCTGATTCTCCACCGTGTCGATGTAGGTCTCTTTGCCCATCGCGCGCAGCCCAGTTGAGTCCTTCGCGACCAGCAACCGGCCAAGCCTGGCGAAGAAGTCCTGTATAGCAATGGAATGCGTCGTCTCGTTCATTTGCATTCCCCACTCGAGTTTGGTGGCGTACCTGCCGAAAGCGCGCAATATGCTGCCATCGAGCTAGCAACGGATGCTGCCGACGACGACGAAGAAAGTAGGAGAAAAGAAGAGAAGACGAGAAAGGTATGAGTGTGTTAGGGTCATCGCTTGCAAGAAGGGGAGCAAAGTGGTGCACATTGATCAGCAAGTACCACGGCCAAGTTGTGGTAGAGCTGCATCAAGGGGCGAAGCATCGGCAAGCTTTCATCCACGAGAGGCAGGGTCGTGCACAAATGTCCGCACAAATCGAGCAGGTATTGTGCCGTGTCGTTGTCTACCGCCTCTTGCTCCTGTTCGCTATCGTCGGCGCTCCCTTCCTCTTCTTCCTTCGTCTTCTTCTCCATTTCTTCTTCTCCTTCTTCTTGTGGTGGCCGCTGTTGCTCTCCAGATGGTCGGTTGAGGAGGAGCATGGCGCGGGCGTGGTGTGGATGCTTCGTCCAGTCGACGAGCATGCAGAGGATGATGTGGAGCATCGAGTTGGGTCGACGCGAGCGAGGCGATGAGTCCGACGACAGCCAGGCGTCGACAGAGAGGCTGCGCAGGCGCGTGCCGGCGGGAGTCGGGTAGGCCACCTCGAGGAACCGCGACCTGAATGGGACCCACCACACCCGGAACGAGCGTCGATCGCTGGTGCTGTTGACGAATGCCAGAAAGATGCCCAACAGCTGCACCGCCTCCTCCTCGTCCATCACTGCCCATCGCAGGTGTGTGCGTGAGTGTGTGTGTGGGGTGTGGGAGAAGTGAGTGCTGTGCGTCGTGCGCGCGTTACATGAGTGTGTTGTGTGCGTGTGGAGGAGTAGCGCACCATCACTAACACCCCTGCAAGGGTACAGGACGGAGGCGAGGAGAGAGCGGTAGAAGGCGTGGCTGTGTGTGGTGAAGAACACTCTCTGACCCTCGGCCGTCGAGCATCCCTCTGCGCATGCGCCGTAGAAATGAAAATAGAAAATCATGTAAAGAGGAGGCGGCGCAGCCGAGATTGGTGAGGTCGAAGATTGAAGGAGGGGTACCGAGGATTTCGACAAAGGACAGCAGTCGTGCGCCGTTTTCCAAAACGTGCTCCTTGAGCTCTATCGCGCTCCCGCGTCTGCGGTGGCCGCGACTTGCCCCAGATGCCTCCATCATCTGGCTTCGCTCTTCGCGCGCGCAACTGGTGAACTAGTTTCCGTTTGCTCGCTTTGCAGCTTCTTGTCTATGTATGGGTCCCCAACGATCCCTTTTCTCTTCCTCTTTTCCTCCCCTTCCCCGTGCAATCGCGAATTGGCGCCAAAATTCAATCCCTTCCAACATATCTTTGCAGTTCTTGAACCCTAATTGATCACCGGCTAGATAGGTTGCCAAAGGCATGAATCGCCCGTCGCCACAGCGGTCCCTGCTCTCCTACTTTTCTCCGAGCTCATCTCCAGCCGCCTCCCCTGCAGCCTCGCGCAAGCGATCGCGACCAGAAGATGAAGCAGAAAATGACGAGGTGTCGGCACCTTCATCACCTGCAAGCAGTGCCAAGAAGGTGGTGGCGACCCGAGGTGCTGGCAAGGCTCTGAGCGCGAGCCCCGCTAGGCCGTCGCCCTTGCGCCAACGAGCAGCGGCACCACGGCAGCCTCCCGCCAAGCGCGCACGAACGGCCGCGGTGCAAGAAGAAGAGGAGGAAGAAGATGATGATGAGAAAGAAGAGGTAGCAGGAGCACAGAATCCGGCGGCGTCATCACCAGCGCCTGCTTCTCCGCTGACGCCTTATCGGGGTACTCGAGGTTCGAGCGGACGCCGCGTGCGGGCCATCAAGATGGAGGAAGAGGAGGACAGCGAGGGCGAGGAGGCGGTTCATGAAGACGACGACTACCAGCCCATGGAAGAAGAGGAAGCGGAAGACGACAACGAAGAAGAAGATGTCGACAACAGAAAGCGACGAGCGAAGAGGAGGAACGCCACGGGTGGGGTCGACGACGGCGACGAAGACAGCGACGACGACGACGTGAAGCCGGTGCTCGTCAAGCACAAGAAAGAAGAGCGCATGGAGCTCCAAGAAGAGAGGACACAGGTTACGGGCGAGGGCGAGGCCGTAACGCGGGACAGCGTCGGCGCGTTGGCATTCAAGCGCGGTGGCGCGCAGCGCACGAAGGAGGAGCGCGCCGAACGACTGAGGGAGGTCCTCGGCCGTCCGGCGCTCGCGCTCATTCCCGAGGCCGGCGATGCCACCGAGGCCGATGTACCGGCGAAGGCCGGCGGCAAGGGCGGCAAGGCCGGGCAGGTTCTGTTCCGCGAGAAGCACCGGCACTGGATCGGGGAGGCCAACCAGAAGGACGCCCAGGGGCGCTCGCGCGACGACCCTGCCTACGATCCCTCGACGCTCTTCATCCCGCGCAAGGTGGCCGCTTCAATCCATCACCTGCTGCTGTTGGGGTCATTTCTGTTGTGCGGTGATGATGATCTGACGTCACCGCGCTCGGGCAGGATCTGGAGGGGATGAACACCTTTCAGAGACAGTACTGGGAGATCAAGAAGCAGCACTGGGACAAGATCATCTTCTGCAGGAACGGCGTGTTCTGGGGTGCGTGACATCACCACACCACTTTTTTTTAACAAATCAAATAGCTGTGGTGCCGATTGGCTGACTTTTGATTGATGATTGGCTGATTGACGACGCAGAGCTGTACGAGAAGGACGCCGAGATCAGTCATCGCCTGCTGGACATCAAGCTGGCCGACCCGGGCGCGATGGGGATGCTCACCGCCGGCGTGTTTGAGAACGCGTTCGACCCCTACGCCGCCAAACTCATCGCGCTCGGCTACAAGGTGGTCAAGGTCGAGCAAATGCAGGCCAACACCAAGAGCTCCGAGAAGAAGAACCGGCCCAAGGACCAGGCACGCACCAACTTCATTCAACTGCAGGTCTTGCTTACATTAGTAACAACCACAACCACAACCACAACCACACACCACCACCACCACCACATCACCATCACAACACACTCTATTGCGCCCGCACTATCGTACAGGCGGTGATCACACGCCAGGTTACGCGCATTCTGAGCCCCGGCACTCTGGTGGACGACATCTACATCGACGACGAACGGGCCATCTATCTGTTGGCCGTCAAGGAGAAGTGGGAGCCCTCCGGTGACTCGGAGCTCCCCTCGTACGGCGTGTGCTTTGTCGACACCGCCACGGGGGAGGTGAACGTGGGACAGTTCCAGGACGATCGCGACCGCACCCAGTTCGAGACCCTGCTGCTGCAGATCAAGCCGCGTGAGATCCTCTACGAGAAGGAGGGCCCGACCGCCCTGTGCTCTCCTCAGACCCTGCAGCTCGTACACTTACTCCCCACCTCGTTGACTCCTCATCAATCGTGTTTGACCCGTGTGCGGTGTGTGCGGTGTGTGCGTGTTGCATGTGTGACGCAGATCAAACGGAACGTGAATCAGCCCACGCTCACGAGGCGCAGGCCAGGGGACCAGTTCTGGAACGCAAGCACGACCGCCGACTTTCTCGCGGGCGCCGACTACTTCGCTGGCGGCGATCGGGAGTGGCCGCCGGTGCTGTCGCAGCTGCTGAAGGACCACCGCGAGGCCCGGGAGGGCAGCGAGCTGTGCCTCTCCGCGTTCGGCGGGGTGGTGTCCTACCTGAAGGAGCTCTACCTCGACAAGGAGGTGCTGGCCCAGGGCCGCATCAAGACCTACGCCGGCACCACCTTCGACTCGCCCAACCTCGTCCTCGACTCCAAGACCATCAAGAACCTCGAGATCTTCGAAAACACAGTCGACGGCAAGGTACGAGCCGCACACGCACCACCGCGTGCACATGGCACGCGCATAACCGCACACGGCTCATAAGGGTGTTTGTGTTTATGTGCAGACGGAGGGGACATTGCTGAAGCTGATGGACCACTGCTCGACGCCCTTCGGCAAGCGGCTGTTCAAGCGGTGGCTGGCGATGCCTCTCAAGCGAATCCACGAGATCGAGGAGCGCCAAAATGCCGTCGAGGACTTCAACGGCAGCGAGGACCACTCCACCACGCTCAAGGACGCCGTCGCCCTCAACCTCAAAGGTGCGTGCCACACACACACACACACACACACACACACACACACACACACCGCCGCATATTTAACTTCTTCTTCGAGCGTGATTCTGAGGCTAATGATCGATCGAGCTGCAGGCCTGCCCGATCTGGAGAGGATCGTATCGCGCATCCACGCCGGGTCGTCGCCCATCCTCACGTTCCTCAGCGCTCTGGACGCGTTCGATCTCTTGTGGGTATGCCTGGTTTCGTTGGTTAACAACGTTGCGTGTCATCGCTAACACCACACGACACACACGACACACACGACACATGGATAGAACATGGTGAGCGAGCTGCAACCGCTGATCGGCCAACTCCGAAGCAAACGTCTGGCATTCCTGCTGACGGTCGGGAAGGGCTTCCCCGACATCGCGCCCCAGCTCGAGTACTTTTCGCGGGCCTTCGACCGAGACCAGGCCAAGAGCGAGCAGGTACTCGTCTACCAACCTGGTCTTGGCTTTGTTCAGTTCTGTCAGCCTCACGTCTCTCTCTCTCTCTCTCGTGTGTGTGTGTGTGTGTGTGTCGTGTGTGTCGTGTCGTGTGGTGTGTGTGTGCGCGCGCGCGCCCGCAGCGCCTGATCCTGCGTCCGGGTGTCGATGAGGAGTTCGATGCGGCGAGGGAAAAGGTAGAAACCATCGAACAGCAGCTGCAGCAGCACTTGGAGGACCTCAAAGAGGAGGTAGGCATCTCTGACATGGCCTACGCCACCGTCCGCAACAAGGAGTACCTCATCGGTACTCA